CAAACATGAAAAAGCAGTCAACCAGGAGTCAGTACGGATCCCATTTTTAAAGAAAAATGCAACCAATAATTCACAAAACTCAAATTATATCAAGCATATCTTCTTTGACAGTTAGGGTTAGGAAACTCTTTATATTTTTATTTTTAACAAAATTATTTTTGTTTGGTAATTTCATGTTGCTCAAACTTGGTTCCAATTTATTCAGTCAGATTACAGTTTTTCAACCATTTTTTTGCCATCAATATCTAGGTATTGCAACTGCTGCAGCTATTGATAGTAGTGTGTTAAAAATCATTTTTATTGTCAGAAAAAGGAATACTCTCTCATTTCAAGACTGTGGGGAATGAGACAAAATGAGAAAAATGAGAAAAATGAAACTGTGGGGTTGAACAAAATTATTTCCCAGAGATTCAAGTGACAGCACTACCTCCTGTCTGCCAACAAGGTTGCAATATTTTCTTGACCAGACATTTGATATTTAGAATGTGTATTCGTCAAACCTGTAAGCAGAGCTTAACTCTTGTAAACTTTAGCCGTTAACTGAATTTGCAAAGGTTTTCATTGCTCCTTAAATAGGTTTTTTTTTAATCAGCTGCGAATTAAACAAGCTTGCTACGCCAGAGTACAGATATTTGATATAAATTACGAGGAACAATGGCTCTATCAAATGTTCTGCTGTTTGTTACCTGAGTCAGAGCTCTCATCTATAATCACATTTCCGCACTTTAATATATCAGATTCCTACAGGGTTCAATTTGAGATTTCATTTTTAAGGCTTTCTGTGCAATTTGACTAAGGGCAGCAAGATTAATTTTTGGCTTAAAAGGAATGTCCTTTGAAGACAGATTAAAGAGACTGAATCCCTTTCTTTTCTCTTTTGGATTAAAGAAGACTAAGAGAAGACTTGATACAACGATTTCATTACTCAAAATCTAAAGGCAAAGTAAACCCAGAGGACCTGTTTCTTCAAAATCAGTCCTGAGAGGTTGATTCTTAAGAATCAACAGTGAAAGTTGGAATTTGAGACATAAGTGGAGAGCAGGAGGGTCTGCATTTCAGAATGAAAACAGGAATGTCTGGAACAAGCTGTTCTGCCATGTTGTTGAATTAGATTCCCTGGATTTCGTCAGGACAGGAATGGACATGGCCCTTGGATAATTAAGATACTAGTATCATCCCCGTTTGCTTATTTGCTTATTGGATCAGGTTTATAAAACTACTTGATCTTATAGTTTTGCTACATAGGTTTTGTCCTGTAAATGTATTCCAATATATTGTCCTGCAAAAACATCTTTGCCAGTTTTACAAATTTTGACCTCCACACCACATCTACAGTGGTGGCACTGTGGCTAGGGATCTGCGCCTGTGGTTGGAACATTGCTGGTTCAAATCCTGTGGCTGGTAGATAAATCCTACTCTGTTGGGCCCCTGAGCAAAGGCCTTAACCCCAACTGCTCCAGGGGTGCTGTATCAATGGCTGCCCCTGCACTCTGACCCCAAGCTTCTCTCCCTGTCTGTGTCTCATGGAGAGCAAGCTGGGGTATGTAAAAAGACAAATTCCTAATGCAAGAAATTGTATATGGCTAATAAAGTTATCCTATTTACCTTTTTTGTGGGATTTGCATTGAAAGGGGAATTTGGTAACTAAGATAAAAGCCCTTCCCTAAAAACATAGGGTGGTATAATCTCCTTGCTTCTAGGGGCCACAAAGGCCATGTATACTTTGTTTTCTAAATTCCATCTTATTATTCATACAATTATCATAAGGTTCAGATTTGATTAATGTACATTGAAATCTACAAGTTTAGTACAGGTTGGTTTGAATCAATGTCTCAGTTTTGACCCCTTTTTTTTGTACCTGTTCATACTGGACGGCATTTCCCATCTGTTGCTTTTTTGTAATTAACTTGTATCTAAAATTATTTCCAAACAGTGGGCCATGTTCTAGATTTCCATGAAGTTGCTTGGTCATGAGCAATTTCCAAGTGGTCAATAACTTCTGATGCCTAACCCAAGCATTTTATGTAAAGCAAGACTTTTCTATGCATTAAAACATACTCTAAGTCTATACAGTAAGGAGAAGTTTTGGGAAGCCTAAGGAAACCTTTCTGATCACTATGAAGAAAATGTACTGTACAGTATATCTGTTGTCAAGATCAACATTATGTGCTCACTTTTTTTCACTTCACTGAAGTTCAGTATCAGCTCGGTTGCAAATTTACTGCTATGCACCACACATATTTCTTTATAGATACAGTAGTTTTACTTTAATGTAAAGAATAGTAATACACCTTTGGCAGGCCTGCACGTGGTCTCCAGCAGTAGCAGGGTGATTTTTATTCCTTCACAAACTCACAAGGAACTTAAATCAACGCACTCCCGCCACCTTGTGTTTTAACTTGGTTACTACAATTTAAGTCACTACTCACAATGCTTGTCAAGTATTTCATAAAATTACAATCACCCATTTTCATATTTTTTGAAAATAGGACATCCATGCAGACGTGCAAGAATATCTAGACCTAGCCTGAAGTTTTTTACTCAAACAAAAATGTGTCCAAATTTGACCTTAAAAGGAATAACTTTGTATCAATAGTAATTACAGAACTACAGAAATATTATTTTTAAGAACTTGTGTGAAACTCAAAACTGAAGTCCGTTTACTGTAGTGACCTTACTATGCATTGTGCACAACAATATCAGAGGCTCTTAGTAGATTACAGTGAACTGGAATACAGGAAAACAAATCTTTAAACACTGATCCTCTGAAAAACAAGAGACAGAGGAGGAAAAAAAATAAAGTCATCTGAGATCCAGGGAAATTTAAGATTTACAAAATGTGGCAGTCAGATCTGTTGTCATCATGTTCAAAGAATTTGCAATTGCACCACTGGGAGAATTAAAGGGAGAAATCCAACCTTTTTACAGCAGTGTGGTCAAGAGATTCCTTACAATTTCCAGACAATCAGGAACATAAGTCCCTAAAGGAAGGATGAGGTTTGGATGCTTACACTCAAGCTAGGTCAGTGACATGTTATGAGAAATGGAGGTGCTGTTTTACACAAAGTCTTGTGGGAGTCTAAAACGAACAACCCAGCCATGTTCTTGAAGCTGATACTTTGGCTACTTGGCTGGATCATTTAGCTACTGGCAACTAAATGAATAAGATAGGCCAAATGGCCTCTTGTGTAACGATTTTTTACTGTAAATTCTTTTCAGACAATATGAAGTAGGATGCAGTCCAATCTTTCAGTTTTTATTGCCTGCCCTGTTACACGCACTGTGCCTCTTGTGCCAGTTCCCATTAGAACTGCTTGTAGTAATAAAAAGTGTTTAAAAACAGAGTAGTATATACTCTGTTTTTAAACACTTTCTACGTCCTGGCAAACAGTTGTGAAAGGTGGATTTGTTATACAGCTAATATTGGGCACAAAATGAATTTAATGAGCTGTAAGCCTCATTTGAGCATTAGCAATGAGGCAGATATAGGCTTTTTCCTATTCCTTTACATTTCAAAATTAATGGGACTATTGTTTTTACTTTTGATAAAAATATTTGTGAAAAAAAAATTCCAATGTTTGTAATCCATTTAAATTAAGAAGAGAATAAACATAAAATATACAGATGTGTTGCATTACTAAAGGGTCTTGTAGGATGAGGTCATGAATAATTTTAAGTCGAGCTAATGGAATATATCATAGCCATTGGGTGTGTTGTGTTCATCAAAGTTATAAATACATGGAAAGCCTGGCAGCGTACCCTGGGGCCAAGTGACTGTAATTATTTGCAACTCGTAATTCCATAACTGTTCTGAAAAAGTTTCTAATAAAAAAGACACTGATATTTCAACAATCCATGTAAACCGAAAGTCTTGAGCTGAGTTTTAACCTTGCACAATAGCTAAAAAAAATATACACCAAAATGTTACAATCCTCCCTTTAATTTTGTTAAAATGTTTATTTCAATACATTACCCATTATTTTACAAAACAATTTAACCCACTTGCAATTTTGGTAAGCAGCCTTTGAGTTAGTGGAAAAGTCTTCATACAGAAGGTTCCTCTATATAGCATTTCCGTATCAGCCTTGACTGTAGCCAGGAAGGGGCAACTTTTGTCCTTCCTTTGCTTCGAAGAATGTGTAAGAGAGGGTGATTGTTTTCACTCGAGCCATCCTGGGGTCTTCATCAAATTCGGGGTCAATGTAGAAAAATACAGGCATGTCCACCTCCTCATTGGGATTTAACCTCTGCTCCTCAAAGCAAAAGCACTGGGAGAGAACAGAAACATCTTCAGACTTAATGGTCTACATTACAGCCATTGGTTTCTGTAGGTTTGGACTGCTGCATCTCCAAATGCAGTTAGCCTAAACTGTCCTCAAGTAGAATCTTTGTGTTCAGATCAGTTTGGCTCCAGATACAGATTGATCTAGAGATTGAAGTTGATGCTAAATTAATTAGAAATTGGTGGAAATACTTGGTAAGCCAGACAATCTAATTAACTGCCTCAGTTTAGGGAACAAACTACTATTGTTCTGAAATGCCACAGCCTAAGCAGTTCCATATATTGAACGTTTTCCAAAGAAAACTAACTAGTATTGACTTATGACTAGTTAACTTTCCTAAGAGGTTCATTTCTGTTTCCTTAAATTTAAATAGTACTCCTCAAAACATTTTAGGGCTCTCAATTATTTATTTAAAAATGTTACTTATTAAGAGTGTAACAGTTGTATAAACAGAAGTGGGCATCTTTTTTTCCATAAAAAAGATTTCCTTAATTTTATAATTTTTTCATATTTGGTTAGAAGATGTCAATCAAAATATTACAGTTTATCGTCACCCATTATTTATAAATGTAGTTCTGATTTAGGGGCAACATCCTGAATTTCATCTGTTTCAGATTGGAATTGTACTAGAAATGGTAAGAAGAATTCTGTCAGGTGTACTTAATAAAAATCCCTTTAAACACAACACACGTGTTGACACAGTTCTTACCAGTTCTGTCAACACTGGAAGGCAGCCTTCATGTTTTTACAAATCTGTACCTGGATCTTATTGAAGTACTGGCCAGCTTCAAATGGGACCACATTGTAGGTAGAAATTCCAATGATTGGCTTGTCCGTGGGATTTTTTGCTTTGTAAAATGCCAGTGCAGTTTCTCCAGGCACAAGCTGAAAATAAATAATTCGAGACATTGACCTTACATTTCAGTTTTAAAGGTACAAAACTAAATATGACAACACAACTAAATATGCAGCCACATGTCTAGCCGTTTATGATAATGCAGACTAAATACAAAGCTTTTTTCATTTAGTTAAATGAAAGAAAACAGGAGTAAAGATAAGTAAGGCTAACCAATAGTATTGCTAACAATAAACAGAACTTATAAAATGGTTTAAAAGGGAACTAAAGGTCCAGTTTCTCAGGCCAGTTATTACATCTCGGTAACAAAATAAATTCATTGACGATATAGAAAAAGTTTACAAATTTTGAATTAAGCACAAAATCGTGAACTTTGTGAAAGTACTGTTAGTCGCCATGCGAAACCCTGGTCTCACCACAGGTGAGAGCAAGAGTTCCCACCAACTGAGACGTGAAGCAGTCCCTTCCTGCTCCCTAGTCACTGTAATGACTAATGTAATGAGATGTACAAGCGAATAAGTATAGATTGTGCAGCAGACCTTTCATCACAGAACGTTTCCAGCATGATCAGTATGCAGAGTTAACAAGTAAATTCCATTTATCGGTAAACTGTCTCAAAGTCAAGGGCAATATTTGTATTGGACTAAAAGAGATATATTCACAAGGCTGCTTGTTTACAATGTAATAGGGCCACAACACGTCACCAGAGGTTTACACGTCTCGTTCTGAATCGCACAACATGGCACTGCACATACTTGGAAATTGTCTTTTTTGTGATGTAAAGTGGAGGTTTTACAAGTTAATGTCCGCATTTTTGGTATGAAATACACTCATCAATGCTGATTCTCTCAAACCCCAAAACATAAAAATAGTGTTGCAGTTCCCCTTTAAACTGTCAGTTTCTCCTCCCATAGACAAGAGTTTGCTTCTTCTACTACACCGACCAGGTCTAATTCTTACATAGATCTCTGTTTGTTGAGGGCGGAAGTTCCACTGCAAGCTGGCGTGCACATCTGCATTGAAAGTGACTTTGATGACCCTCTCTCTTACAGGCTTCATTGTGGCAACGTGTTCTGTATCATGACCTGCCACTGCTGTCCCTCCAAGACCTGAAGCCTGCAAAAAAGGTTTGCACTCACTCACATGATCAATACAACCTCATTTCCCCTGTATGCTTTGAAAGGAATGTTGAGAAAGGAGGGAGATGTGACTGACTCAAGCATTTCGTTAAAATGATTTAAGTAATTGTTCCTTCAGAAATATTGCGGTATACAAATTTTTAGATGATCAAGATGAATATAGCTCATATTTGCATAGATATTTATAAATACACCTGTTGTAAACAGTTAAATACATCTTTGATTCATCAAAGTGTAGTGAAATATTGGTCTTGGAGGTCCAGTTAGGCTGCAGGCTTTCAATCCAACTGAGGTCTTAATAAGCTAAATCAGACAGTTACTGGTAACTAATTGAGCAGTCCTACCCAGCTCTGCAGGTGCTACTGCTTTGAAGATACCTAGAAACCTTGCAGATACAGTCAAGACCAGGATTAACAGACCTGATTTAAACTTATTTTTTACAATGGTTTGTGTAACGGCACAGAAATCATTTACAAGGTTTATAAAGATTATAGGAGCCAAATTGTATGCAATTAGACTGCAGCTCAAAAGTACCCAGCTGCAGTTCTTAAAAACATTAATCCTGCATATTTTCTAGGTTTCTTCAAATCATCCATAACTGAAGTCCTTTGAAAAGTGTAAAATTGGTCCAATTACAATAAAATAGCAGCTAAATTAGGTCAGTAAGAGACAAGGAGGAAAGAAAGCCTAGACCTTAAAATCATCATGAACAGGTCTTGTGTACCCATGATATAGCCTATTCGTTTGAATTTATCCAAGTGCACAGGTCTATGATCTTCAATTTCCCATATTTTTTTTTGTTCAATATGGCACATTGTCTGTTGTGCAGAAAATGCTGTTATTTAGACATGACTTATATTGACCAAATAGCTTATTAAACTAATTTCATGACAGAACATCAGCTTACTATTGTAAATTCAATTTACACAACTAATAAGACGCCCAAAATTGGTATGACGATGTTGTACATTCAACTTTAGGGGTCTTTTCTGGCAAGTGCCTTTAATGCTATCAGCAGGTAATTTGCCTCTCCATCATAATCAAAAGAGAACCATGACCATAAGATAATATGTTAGTGGAACAAAGTAATTAATACACAATCTCTTATGAACCATTATTGCAACAATTTGTATCCTATACCAAGACTTTCAAGCCTGTCATAATCTAAGAATGTCTACATGCTGCATGGTCTCAAGTTGGATCAGATATCCTTTGGTATAACTCTCATCCTATAAATCCTTACGCTACAAAGGGGAATACTACAGTTTACTGTATGTGCAGCAATAAACATTTTTAGAGCCAACAATTCCATAAAGTCCTTTAGGAACAAAAATCAGAGGAATGATAAACACAAGAGGCTTACGATGGAAAGATCTAAAAATAGACATCACATTGCATAGTGCAGATGCATGACTCAAACTGCACAATGTTCTCTGCTTGCCTGGCAGTACAGTCTGTAGAGAGGAACTGCAGCATAAGACATGCCAATCATGCCCACTCCAGCTGCTACAATGTAAGTCAGGATGGTCTTGTTTCTTTTCCTCCATTCTTCCTGCTGGTCCTTGGTAAACGGATTTCTATGGGCCTTCATTCCTCGAACCTGGGTTCCAGAGTGCTGGAGGCCTGTTTTCTGAGAAGGGGTGTGGTTTGGAGAGCCATGCTGACACCTTGAAGCCACCTGATTCTGAAAGGTTTTGTGATAAAGGCGACACTTTGACGTTAAAGCTGCCAAGTTCTCTGACCAGCAGAAGGACTTGCGGAAGAGAAGGTGCACAAGCATGTTGAGAGGTTTGTACGCTGCTATCTCTCTCGAGCAGCCCTTGGTCCCAGATTGCCTACCTACAAAACAAAAATCAATAAGGAGAGCCAATACAGCAAACATCTCCAGTTTTTTTTTCTTACTTCCGAATCCAAGTCGAAAATTAAAGTAACAAAATCAACTACATGGCCACCTATCAGTGCTGTTGTCATAGCAAGTGCATATTTTACAACAGGCAGTCATATCCTTTCAGTGAACCAAAATGTGCAAATAAGATAGCCGAGCTGTTAAATTTAGTTAAATTTGGTTAAATTTAACTGCTAGAGATTTTGCTGGGCATCATATCATAAAACCAAAGCTTTACATTTTGTATAGTTTCCCTCAAAGAGTCTTAACACATTGTTCCACTGCCATACACAGTGGTTGGTCAAAATACTAGGAGCCACCCTCCCTGCAAAAACAGAATGCTTTATTGTAATTTTATCTGCAAACGAGATAACTCACACACCTGTACCTGACATGACTGAAGGTGGGGAATACAGCAAAATAGGATACAACATTAGAATCGGCAAGACTAGTGAACTAAGATGCTTCAAAGGAGGTATATGGAAGCTAGATTAATTGATATATTAATAGCAAAGATCATGTAACTGTTAGAAAAGGTAAACACAGCAACAGGTGATCCAATAGCACCAGTAATGGAACTGACCCATTCATATTAAAACAAGACATGAACAGGAAACTTTGCCTACAGTCAAGTAGAGATTCTGAAAACTGATTTTATTCATTACAGGTTCTGACTGTAAGTACTAAGTTTTTGAGGTTTATAAAATTACATTTGGAGAACTTATAAACTTCCAAAATTATCCATTTTATATGGTTCGTTGAGTCCTACTCTCCTTTAAGGGTTTATGAAAGAAAGGTAAGTCAGCATGAAACATTTTCGTAACATAATAAAGGCATACAGCATAATATTACTAATGGTCTCACAAATGGTCTCTGTTATACAGTTGGAGGGATGAATCAAGCTAAAACACCAGTCATTCGGTCATCAAGAACACCCTATTAAAAGATTAGAAAGCCCATAGTAGATGACCAGCTTAATGACCCACACAAACATGGTGACCTTATTTAGATCTAAATAAAGTTGTGTTCCTGTTTGCTAAGACATTTACCATATGGTGCCTCTTGCAGGATTGAAAATAAGTTTAATTGGGGTGCTAACCTATATACAGCAAAGGCCAAGCCTTTTAACAGAACTTTTCTTGCAATCCATATGAATATCAAAAGATAGTTGCTACCTTTCAAACAGGTTAGAACTGTCCCCAAATATTCAGCCTTTCTATTTTTAATAAAAAGTATCACATTAGATGTTTCCTTATTATGCCATCTGATCTAAGAAGATTAGACCGTTTGCTTCAGCACTCTTCATTCCTGAGCTGATTTTCCTACTCAGTTCATACTGAACTCTTTTTAAAAAGCTTAATTAAAACAAGTTCAAATGTTCTTTCATTACCCCTTTTTCGATACTCTCTATAAATATGGTTTCTTTCTGCAATGCGTGTTAGGACTGTTGCTCTTTTTAAATTTCAATGGACTGTACATTTTGTCCACTTTTACAATGTCCACAAACTGCACATGAAGTGCATTCTAAAACTACAGTAATAGCTTTTCATACCGAATGCGATAACAAAAAACGAGTTAATTCCGTTAAAATGCAACTAGATTAGTGATCAGGCTGATACGAATCACCCCTGGAGCAAAAATACATTGTAAAAAACATGTATTTCTATTAAAGAGAATCCTTGGTTTTCAATCAATAACGTAAACCAATCGATTCTTCCATTTTCTTTCCTTCGACGTTAATTCAAAGATTCAGTTCACAAACAAATGAGAACAATTCGTTTCTTTTTTTAATAGGTCAAGTAACTCGTATGTCCCAGAAACAGAAACGGCCAAACCAGGTAACAATACTCCTGATGAAATTGACAGCATTACGGGGCCTTACCTCCGATTGTAAAGCCACGAAAGCCAACATTTAATTCAAACCACCATTAATGCCACATTTTCCTGATTAGACACCTAAGTAAAAAAACTAACAGCTTAGTTAAGCTCTCAGGGTCAAATCAATCGTTAAAATGACAATCCAGACAATGCAATAAATTGTAATCCATATTTTTATCCACAAAACTCAGCGTAATGGAAACATCCCCAGTTTTCAAAAATGTTAAATTGCATAAACCAAATACTAACCTGAGATACAAGATGTACCTAAATATCATAATATAACAAAGACAGGTTATTCAACAGTGTACAGGGTTTACGGTCCTACACGTTTAACTATTCCTCCTGGCACCAAAACTGGGGAACTATGGTTCCGAAACTCCTAACATAGGGATTGACCTTGTTCAAACTTTTAATGTGAATGGAAACGTAAAGAAATAGTTTCATATAATACTAGATGCCCCAAATATAGCTTTTATGAAGACGTGTATCTAAATCATTATCATATAAAGGAGCTCAATAATAAAATAGCTCGCAAAATACAGTTATTATCTACATGAATTTAACTTTCAATAATGACCAACAACAAAAGCAATTTATCGAGGCGCACACGCTTTTGTAGTTTGATGTTAAGCGCTAGGCAGTATGGGTAAATTAGTCGAAAGCGCTACTTATTAAACCAAAAAGGTAAGAATTTATTTTATCATGCATATATAGCAAGTCATTTCAAAATAACGGAAAGGTTGACTAAAGGTAGCTCAATTGTGTTTTCTTTGCAAACTCTAAGTTGCCAGCATTGCTACTGTATTTTAAAATTCATGGACAGCTTGAAAACTTGTTGAACAGACCGTATCAAACAGTAACATCTGAGACGTTACTAACACCGTTACTATTGTTTGTAGTCAGTGCTGAAAAGTGAGCTCACATTTATCTTTTGGATATCTAGAAAAACGCTGCGGGTTTTGTCCATCGCGCATCTGAATTGAATTCAAAGTACTGTTAAATGCACAATTGTCGGAGTATTCGGAGGAATTTAATGAGTATCGTTGTTTCGTCCTTTTTCTCGAAACGAACGTAGTAGTTTAAACAGTAGTTTGATTTACTTTACATAAAACAACTATTCTGCAACGAGAACAACTTTAATTATATTAAAGGATGTACATCAGTTATACCGTGCGCATAATTGCCCACACTGTAGAAACGTAATCGAACCTATTTTATCACTTTTGTAAAGATCGCTACAGATGTTAAAATTAGGTGTTAAGTTGTGTAGCTTAAATGAAGAGAAGTTATTACAAAATATTGCAAGTTAACATTAACTGCCTTTTTAGATGACTAAGGGTGTTGAATTTGCTCGTAATTACTGGATACACTTGAAATTGGATGATCTGATTTTCCCTTATGTGCACAATTAATTTGTTGTAATAAACAGACTTTAATATTTTAGTTTTTATAATTCATATTGAGTATTGCTCAAAACAGTTATTTTTATTGATGAATAGTTTCCAGACTTATTTTTCTGTTCAAAATGTTATCAATGTATGAACTTGTTGCTAAACCGCAGTCCTGCACGGCTGTGCAGAAAAGCGTGTTAAGGAGCTCAGTACAGGAACAAGATGTCTTATATGTTATGAACAAAAAGCACCAGTTTCCAGATATGGAAGGTATGCAATATGTTTTCGTATTTCCGCCCGCTACGTTTGTGTATGCGTATCGAACAAGGACAAAGTCACATATAAGAAATATAATAGGCAACAAATAAACACACCTTTCTGTGTATGGGTCTGTGTATCTTATAAAGTAACTTATTTGGAAATAATTGAATAACTGACCAGCCCTAACGTGGGCTCTGAGGAATGAAGACACAAGAAGAGGTCTGTTACATTATGTACCCCATACACGAATAAAGTAAAGACTCCCTGAAAAAGTGGATGTCTCTATAATTTATACCATTATGCCGTGGCATATGGAATCCAACAGGTTTTCCACGTCGCTTTAAATCATCAGTAGCTTAAGACTGTTGAGAAGGGATAAATGGGTGCTTTGGTTAAATCTTAATTGGATCAACCATTTCCCTAGGTGTAGAGCCTGGCAGACAAAAGTATTCCACTGTTGATCTGCTAGTGTACCTTGAGAATGGTACTTTGCCTCAGTTCACACTGCTATATAAACAAGGACTAGCATTGCTGGGAGGGTTGATCCCTGTGATTGGACTAGTAGACTGTCCAGGCAGCAAAGTCTTGTGCTCTTTCCTCAGCTTAGAGCTACAGAAACCAAGATAAGCTTTAGCCCAATTATACCTCAGATATTGAACCAGCAATTACTAATAGGTACCCATAGTATTAATAGCTGGAGCCTGCTACTACTAAGTCTGCCGCCATAGATCCTATCTAATCTCAGTTCTCAGACTACCTTTGAGAATTGATCCAGTATTGTACATGTATTGGAAGACGGTCCTTCTTACCCAAGGGGACAGAACATCCACACAGACTTTACTAGGCCAAAGTTGTTGGCTCTGGAATGTAGGTCATAATCTGCCTTATGCTTACAGGAGTCAAGTGCTTCTAAGTAAACCAGTGCACATAGTCTAGTTGCTCCTGCAAGGTTGCTATAATCTGAAGACTGGCCATCCCTTGTTGTTCCCTCCTTCATGGTCTCCCAGAGCCTAGGTCCACCCCATGGTGTATACTGTAGCACTGTGCCAAACATCAGTTAGGCAGACCTCCCAGAGAGATTAGGAAAACAGTGGAGCTATTATCAGCTGGAACTGCATGCCTTTTGTGACTCTCAGGATATATGAGATATTCACTTATTCACCAATCTGGCCAGTGTTTACAATGACTGACATGGACAATTGCTCACTAACTACCATTCAAGGTGGCAAACTCTCCCTGGGTGGCTCTGATGAAGGATGTAGCCTTGGACATTGGCTGTACTGGTTCTAGTGCTCCTAGTGACTGTCTATGAATGTGTGTTTTCATCTCCACCACCTGCCCTGCAGAGTGTTGGTAAAGCAGTTCTCTGCTGCTCTCAGTCATTTTTCCTCTACTGTCCACCTGGTGGGTCTCTAATCATTTCGCTGTGATGACACCAAAAAAAGAAAGACACACAAAACTGAGAACTCTTATTATACCTTGCATGTCTAGACTCTCTTTTCAGGGAGAGGGCTCACTTTTTCTTCCCCTCCAGTACATGGTGCCAAACTCAATCCTTTCTGCCAGTATGAGTAACCATGGTAACTCCATGGTTCAACACTAAGGCCCTGCCAGCCCTCGCCCTGATAAAAAACCTCATCACATCCTGACTCACTCATCCTCCATGTGTAGTGGTCTCCAATTCTCATAGTTCAGTTCCTCTCTTCAATGAATAATTTCTACAGTATAGTTTCAAGTTCTTTTGCCAATTGGGTTAATGGATATTGTAGTTTAAGTATTTTGTTCTGTGGTATACAGTGTGTTGATGCACACAACCGTTGAAGAGCTTTAAGCTTATCCCTGAATTTTGTTGTGGTTTACTATGATTATAGATATGCAACAAGTGAAGTTACTTAAAACATGGATTGCAAGTGTTGTAGCAGGAATGCAGTGTTTAACTTGACATGAGTTTTGTTGTTCAGCGTGATGTGCTAGGTGAAACAGGGACACTTTAGTAAAGTATATAGCTATCATTGCTTTGTAATTTTAGAAAGTTATATTTTGTATTGGTAGCATATACAATTATTATAACATTCTGCATGGTGTAGTATTTCCAATAGTTTGCGTTATAAATTTGAAACAAGAACTGAATTTTGTTTCGTTTGTTTTTGTAGATTAATATCACTGGATGATAGCATTCATATTGTTCATAAACATTCTATCCACATTTATATTTGTGATATTTATAATAGGATATTTATAATAGTGGGGATAAAATGTTAGTGAACCCACTCTGAAGTTATTGTAACTGCGGAAACTGTGTACTATTGACTTTTAATTTTTTCTTATGGCTCAAATATTTTTGAAGTCTGCATACACAGATCTCCATAATACTTCACTTTATATTGATATCTGCTATTAGTTGCTTTACTAGAGGGGATAAATCCTGCAATATTGTAATTTGGTTGCCAGCCAGAAAACCCAAGTAAATTTTGTAGCCCTAGATGACTTTGCAAATCGTCAATGCGTTTAAAGGTCTTAATACTAATACAGTAATATAAATCCTGCAAATCTCACCTTATTCTAAGCCAAACTCAAACCGGTTATAAAAACAAAATAGCTGCAATACTGAATTGATCAAACTTGCCTCTTTTCTTTATGGGAACAAGCAAGCATAGCTTTCTATTCAATGGCGCTGAGGCAGTTGTTGCTCAACAGCAACCTTATAACAGAGGTAAATACTTTCTTCCAATAAATCTTATATCATAAGCCTTAGCACAAAACAACTCAATGCAATCATTTAGGAATTTATTTTCATGACGATTCTTTATTACCCAAAAAAGCCATTCAAAGCTTAAATAAAGAGTAGACAAGTGTTGTGTGAAATAAAATACAGATATTAACCTGTCTGATTGCACAGACCACATTTGGTTATGTGCTGTATCATTCTTATTTTTGTATTATTTTGTGTTTTCCATTGATTCTTCTTTTTAGAAAGCTAGTTTCAAATCAGAACTACATAAAACTCTGTATCTGTAATCCAGTTCTTGTATTCAGCAGGCGCATGGTGGTACATGTTGTTTTGAAGTAAATGTGTAAGGGTTTGATACTATAACAGAAACATGTTTCAGGGTCAGACTAGCAGGCTAGAGAAAGAATGAACCTGATGCTGTGTGGGATTGGAATAGAGGAGCCTATCATAATGGGGCCTAAGGCCAGATGGACATTTAATATGTTTTTTCCCCTTAATCCTCCAGTTTAACAATGCACAGAAATCAAATTGTAGTGTTAGTTCTGTGTCAGACGTTGAGACGTTAAGGTGCTACGGGAAGCAAGACAAACAGGGAGCCTTCGGCAGGAGAGGTGAAGCAGACCATGTGACGGGAGGGTATCAGGAAAGATTAAATAGAAAGGTAGGCTAGTCCCTGTCACTGTCTGGGAGGATTTTTGTCTCTTCGATACTGAGACCGTCCTGATTTGAACCATCTTCTCTACAACTGGGTGACTTCAGTGCCTTTTTAGTACTTCAGTTTTTGCCTCTTGATTTGAAATGTCATTGCTTCCACAGTCAGATGAGGCAGAGCCTGAGCGGTTTGATGGGTTGTCTTTGCTGTATTGGTATGTTGGCTTCTTTAAATTAACTTTGTGGAAATAAAAAGCAAAAATTAAGGCTGTAGTTATACTATAAGACTGTTGCACTGCTTTTAAGCAATTTGTAGTATTTTTGATTCTCCTGAGATAGATTTATTTTCTGTGGGGATGTATGGTATTTCAAGCCACAAAGGAAAACCATTATGAGCTTATTGATTTTGCATGAGATTGTCATGTTTCTGTGTGCAGAATAGGAAAAATAAATTGTGATGTGAAAATGTGCTACTTTCTCATTATTATATTTTCTTTTTCCAGCTTGCTACTTAATTTTTCAGAAAAAAGACAACCTATTAAATAAGGATGTTAGCTCATAGTTTTCATTATATGAATTGGCACTCTTGAACTTTCCTCAACCTCCGGCACAAAGATACCATGATAAGCATTCGTTTTAATTTCATCTAC